CTTTCCAAAGATGTGATAAACCACAGTTAATTTATGTTTTAACAGGGAGGGGCAATCACTTTTTCACACAGGGCCAGTAGGTTTGGATTTTTTTCCCCTTAATAATAAAAACCTTCATTTAAAAACTGCATTTTGTGTTTACTTGTGTTATCTTTGTCTAATATTTAAATTTCTTTGATGATCTGAAACATTTAAGTGTGACAAACATGCAAAAAAATAGGAAATCAGGAAGGGGGCAAACACTTTTTCACACAACTGTATGTACACACAGGTACGTCTATAAACTGGTGAATATACACACTGTTAAATTACCTGTAATCACTCACCTGTCCTGTTTGTCCAGATGATCTGGAGTCGTCCCGATCTGTCCCAGAATGCACCTCTGCAGCTGAGACTCTGATGGAGGGTAGACTGAGAGATCTGCTGTTGGACATCGAGGACCGAATCCACCAGGGAACCCTGGGAACCCTGAAGGTACTCACACACACACACACACCTGGTGAACACAGATAACCAGACACAGCAGGTGACCTCACACTCACCTGTCTCTCTCCATCTGTGCTCAGGTGATGGACAGACAGGTGTGGCGCTCAGCGCTGGAAGCGGGATACTACGAGCTGCTGTGTTCTGACGGCAGAGAGAGCGGAGGGATGAATGGACGAGTGGAACCCATGGAGGTGGACTCACCTGTCCACCTGAGAGCCAGAGACAGGTACACAGCTGAAGATATGACTTGATGGATTTCAAGCCGACAGGCTCCTCCCCCTCAGAACCACCGTTTATGATGCCCTGTTGACAGATGTGTCTTTGACAGGCTACAGGAGTTGAGGTCGGACAGCGTGGCGATCAGCAGCAGCGGCGGGACTCCTCAGCTGGTCAGCAGCTCGGTACAAATCCTGGCTCAGGCCCTGACTCACATTGAGCAAGGCATCGAGAGGCGCTTCATCAAAGCTCCGCTGGGTGAGTCCTATGATAAGACTAATACTGATACAGATATACAGGAGAAGTTCACAGCTCATGATGTTCTCTCATGAATGACGTGGAGAATTGAACTCCCTCACACACAGAGATGATGTGATATGTGAACAGTCTGTAGTCCAGTTCATGATCATTTACTTGTTCTACAGGTCAGAGTATGTTTACATGTTCTCTGGTTCTTTACAGGAGACGAAGACTCAAAGAAAGACCAGAAGAACAAGAAGAACAAGAAGAAGGACGAGGACCAGGCCAGTGATGGTAGGACTTCCTGTTTAAGGACAGACTCTAAAACGATTATTATTATGAATATTAAGTCTCTCAGTAGAATCATATTCTGGTCTGACCTCATTAACAGCTGTGAAGAGTTTCAAGTCAGCAGAAAACTCACTTTTTCTCTCTCTGTCTGTCTGTCTCTCTGTCCCCCTGTCTGTCTGTCTGTCCTCAGACGGCAGTGACAGCGGTCGGGTCACTAAGACCGTGTTGGAGCGATGGAGGGAGTCTCTTCAGATCTGCTCAAGTCTGTCTCAGGTCAGAAAACCCCCTCATTATTTTTAATAGACTTATATAGAAAAATATTTGGTTTCTCTTCCAACACTTTTAGTAACAATGTGAGTCCGTCAGTGGAAAAGACAAACACTATTATATGTTTCAGTTGGTAAAGTTCACATTGTCTCCGCTAGACATGTTGGACACTGGAGCAGCTGTTATTCTATGAGATACTGTGGTGTGTTTATTGTGGGTTTGACATGCTGATGTTTGTGTCCAGGTGTTTGTCCACCTGTCCAGTCTGGAGAGAAGTGTTCTCTGGTCTCGCTCCATCCTCAATGCTCGCTGTCGCATCTGCAGACGCAAAGGAGACGCCGACAACATGCTGCTGTGTGACGGCTGTGATCGAGGACACCACACCCACTGTCTGAGGCCCCGCCTCAAGGTACGCTAACCAGACCCACTGTATGAGGCCTTTTAGCATCATGCTAACACTAAACGCATATTGTCTGCTTGTCTTTAGTCTGTTCCAGAAGGGGACTGGTTCTGTCCAGACTGTCGACCCAAACAGAGATCAAGCCGCCTCCCGTCCCGTCAACGTTCTTCTATTGATGAGGAAGAGGAGGAGCTAGAAGAGGAAGAAGAAGAGGAGGAGTCGGAGGAAGAAGAGGAGTCGGAGGAGGAAGAGGATGAGGAGGAGGAGGAGGAGGAGGAGGAAGCAGTAGTGAGGTAAGTGTGGAAATATTCCACCTCGACCATTTACTGTGAGATCAGTCTCAAACAGCAGCTTCTCCTCTCGAAATCTATGCAGAACAAAGAAAAACCTGGCCCCGCCCCTTAAAGGCAAGGGTCAACAGGCCACATCCAAAGGTCAACAGGCTACTGCCAAGAACAGCACGCCTGCCTCAGCAGGGAAAAACGCATCCGCCTCCAAGTCAGTATCTGTTGTAGACCCTGCTCCCGGTTTACTGTAGACCCTGCTCCCAGTTTACTCTAGCTCTAATTCCCGATTCTATCCAATCACAGGTCCTCAGGTAAGAAGGCCACACCCCCCAATGTGAAGGCCAACACCTCTGCAGGTAAAGCTCCGCCCCGTTTTGGGAGTCGGGTCAGCGCCCGTCTGAGCCACGAGATCCTGGCACCAAACGGCAACACCAAAACCTCATCGGGTCAGACCGAGCCCCGCAAGAAATCACCAACAGGTAAACACCTGCGCACAGGTAAACAACCAATCAATAAATGTTTAACAACTGCCGACAGGTAAACAACCAATCAATAAACGTTTAACACCTGCCGACAGGTAAACAACCAATCAATAAACAGTAAAACGGGCGACGGTGGCTAAGTGGAGAGAAAGGCCGTCCTTCAATCAGAGGATCGGCGGTTCGAACCCTGGCTCCGCTAATCTGCATCCTTGAGCAAGACACTTAACCCCAAAATTGCTCCCGTAGCTGTGGCTACGGTGTGATAGAATCTGAATTGTAAGTCGCTTTTGATAAAAGCGTCTGCTAAATGAATGTAATATAATGTAATGTAAACACTTGCCGACAGGTGACCTGATTAGAATGTTGAACCAGGAAGTGAAGCGTGTTCCTGGTTTTCAGTTATTGACCTCTCCCCTCTGCTCCTCCCCTAAACGTAGCTCCGCCTCCTAAAACCTCCAGACCCGTCCTCCCTCCTTCATCCTCCTCTTCGTCCAGCCGACGTTCCTCCGGCAGGAACTACGGCGTCCACGAGCTGTCGGCCTGTGAGCAGCTGACTGTGGAGCTCGTCAGACATGAAGACAGCTGGCCGTTCAAGAAGCTGGTGTCCAGGACTCAGGTACGCTGTATTCATTAATATTTATACACCTGTATATTAATATATACACAGGTATATTAATATATACACACCTGGATACACAGGTATATTAATATTAGTGCTGGGCAAGTTAACGCGTTATTATCGCATGAACGCATTCATTAATTAACGCCGACAATTATTTTATCGCAGGTTAACGCAGTTTATTTTTTATTATTAAGCGGACATTTTTAACACCAGAACCAGCCGGCAGCGAGCGGTGAACAGCTGTTTGTGTGACGTCTCTTCCTGTTTGCTTCACCTACATTCCCCTGGGTCCTAAGTCCCTCCAAGTACAGCTTCTTATCACCCTCTATGTACCAACGTACATTTATAACAAATACCACACATATTACGGTAATCAGCGTTGCATATGTGTCTGACCACAATACCAAAAAAGAGATTCATTTAAATTATGTTTTTAGAGTTTTTAGTGTTTTGTTTGTAATATGTATAATAAGCATCATTTAGTTTTCACTACTGAGAATTTAACAAACATAACAACATGACGTAGATAGGTTTTCAGTTTTCAAGGTGTATATTTAAATATCATCTCTTACACACATGAAGATAAAGTTGTGAACACCGGCTGAATATCTATGATCAGAATCATTATAACTGTTGCTGTGTAAAGGGAATACTGCTGTTAACAAGAACCTGATGTGTTTAAAGTGTTTAAACCAAATGTTATTGCCCTTTAGTTCATATAGCAGTACTTTCAAAATAAAAGTGCACAATACACTACTTTTGAATTCATTATTGAACTTTGCGCATAACAATGAGATTAATCGTGATTGATCGCAAAAAAATCATGCGATTAAAGATTTTAATCATTGAATCATTGCCCAGCACTAATTAATACACACCTGGATACACAGGTACATTATTATATATATGTATGTATGTATGTATGTATGTATGTATGTATATATGTATGTATGTGTATATGTGTATGTATATGTATGTATATATGTGTGTATATGTGTGTATATATATGTATGTATATATGTATGTATATATGTATGTATATATGTGTGTATATATATGTATGTATATATGTGTGTATATATATGTGTGTATATATATGTATGTATATATGTATGTATATATGTGTGTGTATATATATGTATGTATATATGTGTATATATATGTGTGTGTATATATGTGTATGTATATATGTGTGTGTATATATGTGTGTATATATGTGTATGTATATATGTGTGTATATATGTGTATGTATATATGTGT